GCATCAGAAGGTGCATTGCTGGGGCCTTAACCCTTGCTAACGCAGGCTCAGAGGGTAACGATGTCTGAGTGGAATTGCATTGGAAATTAGGTTTTTAAAAAGGAGCCGTATGTCTTTTAAGCGAGGGCTGCCGTGCCACGGCTCGGTGTAGGAGCCGTCCCCGTCTGTGAGGAGCTCGAGCAGTGTTTTGCTCGCAGGACTTCGCTCTGCGGGCGGCAGCGTTAGCAAGCAAAATGAAATTCAATAAATGCGTCCCTCCTTCTGGAGAACTTTGGGAGTTGAAAGAGGAACGCAGAGCTGTTTATCCACAGCAGCCAACGCGGGCCTCGGTGGGCTTGGAAAATATGCACCTGACCTTTGATGGGACTATCGCATCCTCCGCAGAGAGCGCTGCTGTGCAAACACCTTGGCGGCACAGGAGCAAAGTAAATAACACAGCGGATGGGCGCCAGCCCGCAGGCACCAGCACGGCGTGCTCATGGAGCGGCCGGAGGCGGTGGGTTGTTGCCCAGCCAAATACCCCAGGGCAGGAGGGGAGGCCAGAGCTGTGCTTCCCCCCCAGCTACGCCATGGCCTTACAACCCCTTGCCCCCACCGGCCAGGGACATGGCCTTTCTGGGTCATAACCAGGTGGGTTAGAAACAATCGTGGCAGGGAAACGCATGGAAATAGGTGTGCAGCTACAGCAACTTTTTAGCTCCTTGGTGCCTCTGTAGATGAAGCGAAGGGTTTGGGTGCATCCCCTTGCTGGTAGTGAGAACACAGCAATAACGACCGAAGGAATAAACCTGCTTTCTGACTTCTGTTTTTCTCCTGTCTTTGTGTCTTGCTGAGATTTTCTATTATCACCGAGTCAGAAACAGATGTATAGGCTGTGGGTATGATTAATTTCCATTTTGCACCTTGCTATGATCTCAAAGTAAACCATCCCGGCTCTTTGGTTTCTTGATGTTCTTGAAAGCAAGAAAAACTTTGAGCTCAGAGGAAAATATCCAGGCAGCTGTCTCAAAAAAAAAAAAAAAAGCCATGCTGCGGTTTCACTGTGAACATCCTGAAGGGGTACAGTGAGATTTAGCACCTTGCCTTTATCCAGACCACTAACCTGCTATGGTTTTATAGTGTTCGGGGTTGTACCACTGGACCGCACAAATAGTCTTTGGTCTTCTATTATTTTGATCATTTTTATTATTTTGAGCAAAGGCCCACAAGGCCAGTTTAAACACTACTGTGATGGGGGAGGGAAATATCATGTTTTTAAACTTGTAGGCCTGTTAACCTAATTAAGTTGCAAGGCTCCATGAGCTTATTGGCAAGCTTCGTGTTGTGTTTCGTATGTTTTTCGTGGGGAACCAAATGAGAGCGGCAGCGAGGTGCAGTACGCTATTCCTTTAACAAGGCAAGCAGGAGGGAAGAGGTGATGTTGTTGGCTTTGCAGGGAAGTGGAAGACGTTGCTGCTAATTTATTCTCATAAAATGCAAATTTTATGGATGCTGGGAATTTTTATTATGATTCTTAATGATTCATATAACCTATGATACCTGTCAGTGAACCTTACCTGGGAGCAAGGCCTCAGACTGGGTGCTCAGCAGACAGAGTAGAAGACAGAAATGTCAATTGCCACTTGTTCTGCTAAACCTGATTCATCCAAACCTGAAGTGGGAATATCTTGAACGTATCTAAATCTCCATATACGCTTCACGCATGCAAATCACAGTTGTGGTGTGTTAAATTGCATCCTGAACAGCTAGAAAAAAATAAACTCAACGTGAGAAGCAAATGTGAGAGCTTGACTCTTCACTCTGTTCAGATAATACCACTTCTGGGTCTCTCGGAGGTGGACAAACCCCTTGAGCCCAGTTCTGGGCTGGTGACGTCTCGATAACTCAGACTCACCTAACCGTGATCTGCATCTGCCTCCTATGAAAGCAGTTTGTGGTTGCTCGGCTGGTCAAAGCCTTTGAAAAGGTGAAATCTGCTCTTGGATTTTGTGGAGGAAAAAACCCCAAATTACTTGCCTGTCTCCTCTTAGAGTCAGGTCCTAAGGACCACGGTCTGTCGTAGGTGACTTTTAGGCAGAACTGGAAACAGAAAGCAGGCTAAAGAATTTTTCTAAGATCTTACTGTCATCATTTATAATACTAATACGAACAAAATACATACAACCCTTCAGGTTAACCATTATTTCCTTCCTAGTGTTTAGACCAGGTGCAACTGGTTTTACAAAGTGTTTGGGAGATTTGCTGCCATATGAGCCTCTTTCCCTTTTTTTTTCCTTAACGAGCGCATTTGATCATCTTTTTGTCCTTCCTTAGAAAGTCACACAAAACCTACCTTGCTATACTGTTTGAAGTTTCTGTAATTTGCTCTTTTGCTCCAAGCTCCACAAAGCTTCCTCCTATCTGGGCCCGCATGGCCACCTCCTTGGTGTCCCCTGGGAGCCGCTTGGTGGCCTCGCTTGGTTGTTCTCTCACCACCTGCTCATTCTGACGGTGCCTACAGAGAAAGGCTCTGGGCACCTCTCATGTGCAAAGCTTCTGAGCTAGAAATGTGGCCACATCCACTGTTTTAAAGGGATGTGATAATAGTAAGCGTACGGGGTACTGACCAGGCACAATGGGAGGTCACCAGGAACTCAAACAACTCATGATTTAAAAAACCTAAGTCAATAATGCGCCAAAGGTTACCCAAAGAGTCTGAGGTACAAGCTCCACGCTGAACCTAGAAATCCCAAGCTTTAATCACAAGGCTTTTCTTGTCCCGCATCTTCCCCAAATAATGTTGTGTGAAGGTTAATTTTGTATTAAAATGGAGTTAAACTAAATGCAGATACAATGAAAGCTGACGCTAAACTGTGCTCAAGCAGAATCCAACCCAACGTGCTTTTCATTGCAGCAGAAACATGGGCTAATCCGCTTATCGGTTGGAGTTGGAGGTCCTGTACGAGTCGGAACGGGATGTTCAATTCAAACGAAAGGATTTTCTCTCTGAATAAGAGGACACATACTGAATATGCAAATAGCCAAATGTTCTCTTGACGTTTTTTATAAATGGATTGCTTACTGTGGTGTTTAAATGAGGCTAATTTCATCTTATATTTCTATAGTCCCGTTGGTCCTGAAGAATCCTCCAGTACTTTACCAGCAACTACAAACACATACTTTTTTTAAAGTAATTTAAGAGTCATTGGATTATATCGGCCACTGACATGATCAGCACTGGCATGTACAGTGAAGGCGAAAAAATACACAACCACAATCTGAGATTAATTTATGTATTTTTCTGTAAAAAAAACGTTAAAGGCTCTTACACGCCATTGTGTTTCTTCTGGCCTTATCTGAAGGCCTTACTGCTTTCTTCCTTCTGGAATTGAATGCACGTACATCAGGCGACTGAACGTTCTTGTTAAAAGTTGTCACGATTTATAACAGTTCAGGTGTCCCCCAAAGGCTCACACAGACTTCCCTTCTGGAGCCCTTGTACGCTGATTTTTCGGTGTAACCACTGAAGGAAACGCAACATTTGAGGCTGCAGAGTCACTGGTGTGCATGTCTAACGCTGGGTGACCGACAGAAAAAGATTCTTAGGGTTTTCTTTCGAAGAAAAAAACCAAAAATAATGTTTTTCAGCATTCCCTTGCCCGTGCAGTCTCACATTCACAAACTTTGTGGGGCTCTTCCTGCTTTTACACTGCTCTGTATAAATAAACCACAGGATCCCCTAACATGTTGCGCAATTAAATTAAATGTTGTGCCATCAAATTTGTTGCAGTGACAAATGATGCTCTTAGACATGAAACATTTGCTACATTGATGGAGATTAACAGAATTTATTAATCTTACAGAAGATTTGATTGAATAAACTTAACATAGGCTAAGATACGTCTGCATGCAAGAGAAGAAATTAAAGTCCAAAGAACTTCAAGTTCTAAGAAAAACACTTATAAATTGGGTGCATTAAAAATGAAGCATGTAAAAAAAAAAGGGGGGGGGGGAAGAAAAACG